GTTACATACCTGAAATTGAAATATTCTTCCCATGCATCTTAATATTTTAGGATAAGCACAATTTCAACAAGTGCTTTTCACAAGAAAGTAAACTCGCTATATTTTGTCATTTGTCCATGCCTTTCAGAAGAAACTGCAATTCTAGCACAATTCTATCAAGCATATTCTGACATTCCTGCTGCATATCAGCTACTGCCAAATTATACCTGTCAGTTGTAATAGTTTCATTATTAACAATCACTTTGGAACATTATTAGATTATAGAAAATCTAATATGCATCCACTCAGTATTTAATCTATTTTCCACAATATATCAAATTCTTTTTCCTTCAGCTAGTTCAAAAGGTCTAATTTAGATTGTCATCTAATAGAATTTAAAAAATGGGTAGGTTAATAAATTAAGTAACTTAACTTAAGGGAAGGCCACTGAAAGTTTGCTGCATTTTATTTCAAATGACTGTTTTATACCATTTCTCAAAATAATAAAAACTACAATATTCTCAAAAGCTTTTGAAGACCACAAAATGGCTACCCTTAGAAAGTGCTTTATGATCAAGAAATAATATTTTCAGTATGATCAGTACCAGACATGCTTAAGTAGTTTGGTATATCATTTTATTATAAAAAATATAGAGTGAAACAATGGAATAATCTCAAAATTCAAAAATCAGGATATAGGTACCCTAACAAAATTGACTGCATCTCTTATAGCAATTACAATACTCCATATACCATAAAACAAAACTTTGGGCTGCCATCAACTTGTTTTCTAAGAATCTTTGTGTGACCTATATAGGGCCCAAAGTCAACGTTAGAAATACAGCCTATACTAGAGGCTAAATTTTAAAAATATTTTTTTAAAAAAATCATATTTAAGGCAGAAACATAGCAAGTACTAAGGAACAGTTTGAGGAACACATAGATGTTATTAGTCTGCAAGGATATCCTCCTTGGGTTTTTTTTTCTGCTGAAACACATTATAACTGAGTATTTTTCCTGCCATACATTGAATGGCTTTTTACTCCAAGAACTGCATTTTGAGTTCCGTTCATGGAACTTCTATATTTTTTAATTGCAGTTCTTTGCACCCTTTTCCTTCATCTAAACAGGGAGAGTCAAGCTCCAAGACAAATTGTACAACATCACAGAAAATAAGAATTTGTACATACTGGAATTCAGTCAAAGTATTGGTGATAAACTCTTGCATTGTAAGATGCATTTTTTCCCATCTTTAATAAACATTATACCAAACTATATGAGAAATCATCTGTTAGCTGTAGTTTTTCATCCGTTATGTGTAACTCCATTTTCAACTAATCTTTGTCTTCAAAACATTAATTTTCATATCCATATTCTATTTTACATACTATAACCTGACATTTACTTCATATAATTTGTTTTTTTTTGGTTTATGGCATCATCTGTAAACAAAAGTATATCTATGCTTCCATCTCCACCACTGTAAATGTTCCATATAGATTTTTCCATAAATGCATTAAATGACCAAGCGGTCATTGTACATAGTTTCTAACTTTCTGCTCAATGTTGAGCTATATATTAGCATCACATTTATATTTATATATGCTTTTCTTGAATCATTCACCACTCATTTCGCAACCAAACTTTGATTCTGTACTTATGAAAAACCACCCATAATTCGATCTGTTCATTTTATTTCTAAAATAACATACAATAAGCTTTCTTTCTCACATACTAATATAAATGACTTGCTGAAGAGCAAGATTCTTATCTGCTTATTTCCTTCCTGGTGCTGCACTTCTCCTACTACCTTTTATCAGGTACACTTAAGGACTAGTCTTACTTTTGCAGTCACTCTTGCAAAATTTCCCTTGGAGAAAATTAACAGCATGCTTTCAATTGTCCACACACTCATACAGACAATATCACCCAACCACTCCATACATACACATGAAAACCAGTTTCAGAAAGAAAAAAAAAATCTTCTCAAAAGACTAGAAAAATGGTCAGCACTGTAAGGAATATTTAAAGCAAAAGATTTATTTTAGCCAGAAAAGGGAGAAGCATTATTTACTGTCTAAAAAGTAGTTGTCATAACTTTTTCAATTGTACATTTGCCTGTTTTCTTATTGAGGGAAGTAATTTTCCTATCATGTTTTATTTCAAAAAGGATCCATATAGCAGGAATGAAAATAATTCAGGTTCCTCTTCATGTTGGACGTTACAAAATGATGGGTTATGGACAAACAGCTAGCCCTTTGCTGAATCTAAAAAGGTGATTGCATTTATGTGTTTTTGTTTTCTTTTCTACTCAAATTCAATCATCATTTTCGCTCCCTTATGTGAAGTATTGTTCATGTATAACATTGCAGATCAAATTCCTATCTGTCATTTTAAATTGAAGTAGAACCATCTAATGCAGTTGATCCAGAATGCAGTGACAGAATCGCTGTGGTTAGTGGTGAGTAACCAGAGCAGTTCCTGCAGCATTGATGTAATAGATCAATGTAAATACTGCATCAATGCTGCAGGAAGCTACTCTGGTTACCAGTAAATTTGTCAGTACAGCTCAAGAGGCTGATCACTACAGGTAGTCCTTCCTTTGTGACAATTGGGACCAGCAACTCCATTGCTAAGTTATTTTTTCATCACTGTCGTAACTTTGAATAGCTTGCCCTCTCACACAACAGTGACTGTTGGCCTTTCAGAAGGTGGAAATAAGGTTCTTCCGGAGTACCTTTGGTGATTAATTTTAAGCAGCAATGTTACATTCAATAATTGTTAATTTATTGTTCACATTTTCATTAAATTAAAAATATAATTAAAGTAGTAATATAATTGACTTGTATGTAAGTTCTGTAGGCTACCTAGGCTCCTTTAAACAATTGATATTTTGAAAAAAAAATGTAGCCATTGGCAGGGCTAAATATTTTAACTAAATATCAGTCAACCAGAGCAAATACATTTAAGTACAGTACCAGTAATATATATTCTGGAAGTGTGAATTGCGGCTTTATTGGAACTGCCAAACAGAAGTGCAGTGTGGTTAGTAATTGTATCATCTGACCTAGAAACTCCCCTCCATCTCCATTAGAACATGGAGTGTAATCCCAGTTCAAGTTGCATCAATGAGATCTTAGTCAGGACAAATGTTTTTCACAAAAATCAGGCTTCTCTGGCTATAATTTATTTTTTTTAATTAGCCCAAATGACTATATATGATTGGGGTCTCACCTAGATTACTTCTTAAACTCTGACATATTTTTGCATAATGAATGTTCCATTCATAAAGAACCTCTGATATAGAGTATGTCCTTAATATTAATTTTTCCTCTTACGAAGATTTCTCTTAAAAATATATTAGAAACAAGTTTCCATTTGCCTATGCTTGTTTTGTAATAGGAGAAACTATTTCCTTTTGCCTTTCTAAAAAGTTAGTAATGAAACATTGTTTGATTTGCATTTCTATATGCAAAATATTCCTGGCTTACCTAAACTGGAATCTGCCTTTTCCTAGGCCTGCTGAATTGCATACTTCCCAAACATGGAAAGACGATGGAACAAATTCCCTTGTCTTCAAACTCTTAGAAAAGAAGAAAAAACATCTTTATACACACATTATGGTAGATATTGGAGCCACGCCAGCATTACCACCTCCAAGTAGAAGAAAAAGGAATAACACTTGATTTTGGCAACATCTGAAGCTTTCAAATCCTGGAGCTTTTTATAAGCTAAACTCATCAGGAATGCAAGGAGGGGAAAGAGAACATTACTTTTGCATGCATTTGACCAAATTAAGCAGAAGCCTAATACAGGGTACTAAAGAAACCATATCTGGGGTAGATTGATTTTGCTTCATTGACATTAGCAACATATAAATTATCCTATCTTGTTCTGCAGTAAACCGTCAGGAGCTAGAAGCTATAGTTCTGCTATAGGAATTGTCAAGTACCAGTAACAAATTTGTCTATAAACAATATCAAAATATCTGCTGAATCCTTTGCTCTTTTCTAACTTGCACAAGTCTTCTGCATAGCAAATACTTTAAAAAGTTACATTAATGTTACTTATTTCCAATTTTTCAAGAAATATATGAATTTGGAGTTGACTTATAGGTCTCCTTTTGAAAGGTTTTTCATTAGAAAATTCAGTTTTCTGTACCCATATTTTAAGAAAGCTAATTTTTAATTATATTCAAGGTGTTATTTTAAAAATATTTTAGTGAATTTCAATAAACATCAATTTAAAAGTATTAATAAACATTGTGTAAGTATTTGAATGAACCAATTGTGTGCTTTTTTAACATTTCATTGGAGTCTTATTTTAAAAAGTTTGATATATTTGTGTAGACTGAAACTGATGAGACAGAATAGCTGTTTATGTATTTATGATATTAAACATATGGAATTAACGGATATGGAGATTTACCTTGTATTATATCTTATATATATATATATAGCTCACTGAATCATCATAGCAGCCATCCTATAGAAAGGCAGAGTAGGAAATCTATAAATATTTAAGCAAGATTGCTGTTTGTTCAAAGCACCAATGTTGAATCTATTTCCCTCTGTCCATTTGTAAATCAGTTGAGAAAATGATTGTTTGCCTTTCAAATTTATGTGGTAGCCACCTTGACAATATAAAAATAATCTGACTTTGAGTAGCTAGAACACAATTTATTTTTCTGCTCATTTTTTTAAAAAATATGAGGTTTCACATTTAACCATAGGACCGTTTGTATGTTTAGTACTAAGATCTCATATTCATTAGTTGCACTAATTGTCTCCCAGCTTTCCCCTCCCTCCTGAAGAAGAATCACTGTATTTTAAGACCATTCTGCACCCTAACCTTGCAAAGGTGTATGCTATCATTTTAATATCAATTTATCTACTTGTGTACTCTATGCAAATGTTTGGCTGTTACCTTTTGAAAAATGAAAAGCAGAGAGTAATCAATTTCTTTTAGTAGTAAATTCTCACATTCTTAAACTAACATTTGGATAAATATGAAAACTGAGATCAACAGATGTTAAACTTTATTCAGAGTTTTATTTTTTCCTTGTTTAAGAAAAAAATTATGTATCACTCCTGTTTAGAATATGATGAGCAGTTCAACTGAAAAAAAGACATTTTAAAAAGTTGGATTGAAAAAAAGTCTTGCTTCATTGAAAAATTAACTTGAATTGTTCTTATATCTCTTCATTTCAAAAAAATGCTCAGTAGAATTCTTTACAAAGGATTACTTTTATCCAAAGAAAGTCTTTAATTTCAATGTTGTCTTATAGCTCAAAAGTAACTAACAAATCAGTTTTAAAAACATTCCATGTGTAAAGAACTTGAGTATCCACCAACAGAAAATGAAATATTTCACTGCTGTAGCTCAAGTCATTATTTTTTTTTGTCCATTTGAATAAAATTTATTAGCCATAAGAAATGGTTATGAAAACTTAAGTTTGCCTTCCAAAATCCACTGTAATATTTGTATATAAAAGATTGTATTCTTTTGAAAGCAGTTTATAGGAGCACGAATTTAGCCCATCGGTCTTCCATACTTGAGACACCTGACGCAAGAGATTCATTCTGAGGAGATTTTAATGTTGGGAGGTAGGAGGGAAAGAGAAAAAATAGGTCATATTAAGTCATATTAAAATACATAGTTAAAATGCACCTCAAGAGGCTGTATAATAAGCAATTTTGTTTTCAATCCATCCATTTTCAGATATACACAGTGTCTCCCAAACATACTGTATCTATCAGGAACACAGTCCACAGTCTAATTTTTTCCATCACCAATTATACCCTTCAATGGAATTTGCTTCATAGACACCGTTTGCTTAACTCACCTCTGGCCATTTGCCTCATTGCCTTGGTCTCTGGTATGAAAGATCATAGTGTACTTGGCTATACTGGGGGAAGGTCGGATTATCTTCATTTTCTGCATTTCAACCCTGAAAACAAAAATGTGACAATTTGTGAGTAATGACAAGTTGTGAAGTGCAAGCATTATGGTAGAATAGAGAATAAGATGGAGAGCTACCTGGCCATTGTGCTTGCTGATAATGACTAGGAAAGCACACATGAAAGCAACCATGAACATGAACTCAACATTCCAGTCCTGAAAAGAAGAGAACCTCTAGAACAGCGATGGCGAACCTTTTTGACGTTGCGTGCCAAAAGTCCGAGCGCGCGAACCCATGCGCGCTCTCGTGGGCCAGCACCCATAATGCAATGGGGTCCCCATTTGCGCATGCGCACATGACCCCCCCCATGCTCTTAATGCGCATGCACCTCACTGCACATGTCCACCTGCAACCCGCACTGCACATGTGTGCACCCGCCACGCATGTGCCCCCACTTTTTCCAAGAGGGCTGGCGCGCCTCTTACCGGAAGACATCCAGTTACTGGCCCGTTCCCTGGCGAGACAGCTGTTCCCAAGCCAGTGGCAACGCTCCCGGCCCTGCCACCTCGGCAGTGCAATGTGCTGACCGGGGAAGCTCACCCCTTCATCTTGGGCCCCGCATGCAGCCGACAACCCGGGAGATGTGTCACCCAGTGCAGCGCTCTTCCCTGTGGGCTGCCTGCTCACCCACCCGCCAGCCGGACTGGTCTGAAAGTGGCGCGTCACCTTCCTCCCACCCGGCCGCCAGCTCCTTGACGCGAGCAGAGGCTGCTGGTTGGAGGGAGGGGAACTGCAGTGCTGGGCTGCCGCGGCTGTGAATGCCAAGGCATAGCTAGAATTGGAAGAAAAGGCTGTGCGGCTATGGCGGAAAGAACCAGAGCAACACCCGGAAGTTTGGATGAGAAGGAGTGAGCGAGGTGGTGGCTGCTCTCACTGGTAACTGAGCCCACCATGCCAATTTGTGGGCTCAGTTACTGGCGAGAGCAGCCGATATCTCACGGGTGTGAGGTGACACGCCACTTTCGGGCCAGTTTGGGCACGGACCTAGAGCCGCATGAGGACGGCTCACCCGAAAGAACTACGGCAGAGTCTTGCAGCTTTTATCTGCCAGCTGGCCTCTGGGTAATGCCCCTCCTCTCCCCTTCCCCTTCCAGCAGTGTACTGTTTTTCCAAACATCCAGGCCAGGCTGGGCAGCAATTCCCAGGGAGGCGCCCCGATCGAGGAGGCTCAGGCTTGCATAAACCGCTCCCGCCCCTTTCAAAATAGCCACCCAGCGCTTCTCTCGGGTGCCCAGGGCCGGCAAACAGTTCTTCTTCCAAGAAAGGGGAGGAGAGGCAGGCGCGCCAGCAGAGACAGGCTTTGGCTGCTCGTTCTGCTGCGACCCTGAACCCAACAATGGGTTTGGGTGGCAGCAGGAGTGGTAGGGGTTGAGCGATGGGCCCAACCACAGGTAGCGCGTACCCCCACCCGACCCCCACTGTTGTGCTGCCAGCTGAGCCAGGCTCTCTGGCCATATGCCAGGAAAGGAGCCACGGGCTGAGCAGCTGCCCACCTTGCCAGCAAATACTGCCCCGTGCACCTGAGCCAGCTGGTCACTCTTCCCTTCTCCCTGCAGCTGCAACCGTTGCTGCTGCTCTTCTGGGGCGGTGCGGCTGTGCAGGAAAAACACATCCCAAGCGACCCACGGAGCTGGTGAAGCGAGCCAAGAGGGGCGTCTCGGCCCGCTTTGATGGCGGCCATGGGGTCATCTGAGCAGGCAGCCGACCACCACCCCGCCCTCACCGGCTGCTGGTCCACCGGTGGTCCGGATGGCTTGGGACCGCGCAAGTAGCTTGTAAAGGCAGGGAGGGAGGGAATCCCTGGCTTACCTTGTTCTGTTCCCTTAGGAAGTGACCGCCAGGATTCCCTCTCTGCGTCTTTTGGCACACGTGCCAGTTGCTGGTCTTTGCATGCGCGCCAGAAACCAGACCAGCTGGCCGGTGCGCATGTGCACTCTGGAAACAGAAAGATCGCTTTCCTGGAGTGCTTATGTGCAATGGGCAGCTGCTCTTCCAATTTCCGGCATGCCCATGCACATGAAAACCAGATGGCCGGCATACCGGAACTCAGAAGAACAACGGGCGATGGCTCCTCGTGCCCGGAGAAATGGCTCTGCGTGCCACTTCCGGCACTAGTGCCATAGGTTCGCCAACACAGCTCTAGAATAAAGGCTGTTTCTCAAATTGCACATTTTACTTCACTTAAATCTAACTATAATGCTATATGAATGAGAATGCAGCAAGCACAGAATGAGCACTACATAAACTGCCACTGAAAAGTGGAAACAGCACAATTTTCATGAATCCCACTTCCTTCTCTCCAAAAGTCCTATATTGAAGGCAGAAAAATCCTATGGCACTTTTCTGGATTAATGGATGAAAATAATAAAATTTTGCTTCAGGGAAGGACAATCTTAGTACAAGCTGCAATTGCATATTAAGACTAATACTACATGTTTAATTTGGAAGAGGTGTATCAGAATACACAGGAATACAAGCCTTGAATCTAGCTGTAATTCATTAAAATAATGCCTTTTTCCAGAATCATGCTGCTTTGGGGAAGCGTTCACAGCAGCCAAGTGATCTTGGAAATATACAACCGCTTTAATGAGTTCTAGATGATGCATTTGTGCTCCAAAGTACCTCTTCTGAGTCAAATACCAAATTTGCACAGCTGAATTATATACAAAAAATTCATGCTGATGAAGTGGTAGATAAGATCAAAGTTTTCTCCCTCGGTGCACCCCAACCAATGTTCAAGGAAGCTGAATTATGGGAAATTTGTGAAGGTAGATAAAGAATTTGTAATCCGTGGAATACATTGCTAGGGATGGCAATTAAAGCAGAGAGTTTTAATAACATTAAAATAATAGAGGATAAGGCTATTGATCACAACTACTAATCAGGTACTTTGTACTAATCACTGGGATATATAAGTAGGATAATGCAACTATTTATATACTTGTCAACTTGGAAATAAATTCCTGAACTAGATGAGTTTTTGATCTATTTCAGAACTGCCTTTCCTAATCTTAATTCTCCAATTGCTGCAGCTTCTAAAGTGAAATAGCTTGAGTGGGATGTGAAATAGAGAAAACTGCCTATTAATTTGTTCCTGCACTTCACTCTGCAGCTGATTTTCTGTTTTTCAGGATTCCAGATGAGTTTTTATTCTTAACAAAATGAAAGAAGAGGCCTGTAAAGAATGGAAAACAGAGCAGGGAAAATTGTTCACATGCATGTTACTTTTCTGCCTTTTAAATTTGCCTTTGAAACCGCTTTTCCCTAGAAGTAGCAACCATGTGCAATATATGTAATACTGCCAATAGTGAGCAGAATAATTCATATTACATTGTGGTGTGATGGAATAGGTACTGGGCTAGAACATAGGAAACTCAGGTTCAAGGCCATTTTAACCATAATAGCCACACCCTGTTACTACCTCTTATCCCATTTCACTCTGCAAAGCTATGGGAAGAACTGAAGGCAGGAATGCTATGCATGCCACCTTCAGGTCCTAGAGGAAAAGCAAAATAGACCGCATATATAAATAATTAATCATTGAAATTGTTCCTGCACATTTTATCTAACATGGCCAATAAGTCCTGAAATCTGGGCAGGCATTATGTTTTCTTAGCTTATCACAAGTGACTGAGACTTGTTGCCATACTAGATGTTATTTACCTGCCAACCATCTTTACCTGCCTAAAGCAATGGGGGGGGGAAAACAAAACAAGGAAGTGAACCAATCATTAGCAAAAGCCTATGCTGAAGCCTACACTATGACCATAAGGGATGGTGAAAAGTCTGTAGTTGGGGCTCAGTTGAAAGAAGCCGGTGAATATATCATCATATATTACTGCATCGATTGCTGCTGTGGATGACCTGAGTGGGGAAGGGCAGTCTTTGTGACCCTATTAGGCTTCACAGGGGCTTTTGATCATTAACCATAGGATTCATCATGTGACATCTACAAGAGTTGAGGATTGTAGCCACTGTTTTATAGTTCTTAATTACAGTGACAGAGAGCCAGTTTGGTGTAGTGGTTAAAGTGCTGGCCTAGAAACCAGGAACTGATTTATAGTTTTGATCCCACTTTAGGCATGAAAAGTGGCTTGGTGACTTTGGGCCAATCACATTCTCTCTGCCCAACTTACTTCACGTGTTGCTGTTATAGGAAAAATAGGAGGAGGAGGAGAAGGAGAATTATGTATGTTTGTGATTTGCTTAACACTACCTTGCTTAGCAGCAAAAATATTGGTCCCAATTCTGGTCTTAACTCAAGGACTACCTGTATGAACATCATGGTCTTGTCCTTAACTATTCCTGGCTACAGGAGAGAGAATGCAGGAAGGAAGACTGCCGCTGATTGTACAGAAAAAATATAACAGAGACCAGATGTTTGAGAACAGAACCATCTCCACAGGGAGATGTTTTGCTTCTTGTCACTGACACTGTCAAACAGATTGGATAACTCTCTGTGGAGGATGTTTCAAAATCGACTGCTACATTGAGCAGGAAGATTCAATGGCCAAGACTTTGGATTAATTTCAGGAATACTGATCGTTTGCAAATTAACTCGGAATGGATTGACTAAAAGAGGATGATGGAAGCGTCCTTATCTAGTCCAGTGTTTGCGAGACAAGTATTATATAGATACGTTGAGGCAATTTTGGAAGATATAATTTCAAAACACTGCAAGGCACCAGATTAGGAGAGGCTGGTATCACAATTTATAGAATGAAAAACAGACCACAGCAAACAAAGCATTCTTGATTCTAGCATAGCACTTCTTTAGCATTGTCTCTTTTAAAAATGAGGACTGCACTGTCTGTTCCTCTGAATGCTAAGTATTTATCTTCTTGCAAAACCCAGCTCTGTTGACCTTTGGAAAGAAAGACAAACAGAATGAAACAATTCTAAATACTACATTTGCTGACAAGCAGAGCCAACAAAATCAGAAAAATCAGATGTTTCTGATGTGATCCTGAGAAGGATTTTATAATTGTTATTCATTTTACTGGAACTCTACTCTTACATTCCTTTGTTTTTTCATCTAGGTCTATGAGATCCTTCTGGTTGGACTACCAGAGCTCAGGTAGTTCAGAAGCCTTGCACAACTGTTCTGAAGGCTGTCTCTTGTTGTCTCCCCATGAATAGTCCATGCTCATCAGAAGCACATGCACAAAAAGCCAGAGACAGCTTTCAAAGCGTTATTTTTATTTTTTAAAAGTTGGTTTGAACATTTGTCTCTTAATAGTATCGTTAAACCCCAAAGCAGATACATTGCAGTTGTATTGTTCTGCAAATGGCAATTATGGTAATGTGCAGACAGGTACTAGAACAAGCCTAAGACATCAACCTACAGTTGCATCGTAGGTTCCCATACATTGGCACAATTTTGAATGGTTTGATTATTGTTTATCTGTTGCTGAATGATTCCCACCTTCCACTAAGAGGGCAGCATTACTTTCTTGCTGCTTCATGGAAGAAGAAACCTGAAATAATCCAAATACAGAGGGGTGATTAAAAAAACAAGTAACAAGAAGGTTGTTTGCGGTTATGCCAAGCAGTGCTAAGAAAATTATTTCATATAAGTGCGGCAATCCTAGTTAGTGGAGTGGACTTCCAGTTTTTAAAAAAGTCAAGACACACTTTCCTATTTCTAATTAAGCTTCCTGCATGCCAACTCTGATCTCGGTTTCCAGACTCTCTTAAGATAAATTGCCTTAACAAAATGTGAGTCATACCACAGGAAAGATTTCCATCACCCACAATCCGTGCCACCCACTTTGCATTTGATTGAAATGTACCTGATTCGGAGGTCATCGTCCTCTCCTCCCCAGCCCCAGTAGTTGTTTGAAAATCCATTCACCTTCAGAAATTGCTCCCTTGTCAGAGCAGTTACACCGCCAAAGTATCCTTGGTAACGCAACCTATGAACACATATGCAGGGGCAGGAAAGTTATTTTTAAAAAATGGCATTTACATATTTATCAAAAACAGAAAGTTTGCAGAAGTCCAAGTTTTAAAACAAACACAAAAAAGCAGCAATACCCAGCAATACATTTTCCTAAGATTTCCCAAGAAAGGTATGTCAAAGATTTGGGGCTTTTACTATATCAACTAGCACTGCACATTGATTTTGACAATGATGACAAGTCTCTTCATTACCCTTTGGGATTATAATGAACCTATTCTGAACTGGTGGATTAAACTCATATACTAAGCACCTGCATCTAATTTATCTCTCTTTTTGGGAATCTGGGGAAAGAGGCCTTTTGAAGCCCCTTGATTAATTCCATATGGCATGAGATTCACATTCACTAAATCACAGGATCAAGGAGGTGGTTCGTCTATCTGATTCAATTTATTCACTTCTGACTCATTCTACCCTGAAAAAAAAAGTTAATATTATTTTTTATTTTTTTATTTTATTTATATCCAATTTATATACCGCCCTTCTCCCTAAGAACTCAGGGTGGTGTACAGCCAAATAAAAACATAAATTACAAACATTAAAATAGTATTAAAAGGATATATATAAATTTGGCCCCGTAATTAAAACAATAACAAACCAATTTAAAACATTTTAAAAAGTACCTCTTGACTTAGAATAATGGCTGGTCCAATGGAGAATCATGTAAATCAAGGTATAAGAATTATGCATCTTTACCTACTTCAGTAGCAAGTAGAGAAAAAGGAAAAGTAAAGGAGTTGATACTGGTTGGGCTTTCTTTCTTTAAAGTCAGCAGATACTAACAAGTTAGCTTAATCCATTGTGGTAATATAGAGGCCCTGTGGGGCTGGTTCGGATTATAGTGAGTGCTCCTTTCCCAAAACAAAACATTCTTCTAAAGTAGGGGTCCCCAAACCCCGGACTGCAACCTGTTCAAAACCAGGCCACACGAGTGATGGGCAAACATGCATGCTTGTGCACGTGAAGCTCCACTAGCATGAGCCTTTGTGCTCACATACAAAGCTTCATTCGCACAAATGGAGCTTTGCACATGAGCACAAGTCCCCTTCACTTAAGCACCCTTAGCTCGTGCGAATGGAGCTTCACACACAGGTGCAAGTGCCCACTGCTCACCCGACTAAAGCTTCACCTGTGAGCCGAAGTGTGCAAAGCTCCAAGGGAGTTGTGCATACGCGCATGAGCCTACCACATTAAGTCAACCAACCATCTAACAAAATTTTTGCTACACATTATAGAGGACTGGCCAAGATGATCCTTGAAACCTCTATCATAGTGATGGCTAACCTTTTTGCCATCACGTGCCAGGAGAGGGGGGGGCAGGGAGGTTAGCGCATGTGCGTGCCCACATCCCTAATTCTATGCGCCCCGCCCTGCGCATGTGCACGCAACCCCCTTCCCCCTGCTCCTGGCACACAATGGCCTGGTAGTCCCGTTTTTCTTTCTCACCTGGCTCCAGATCCTCTCTATGCATTTGGGAGCGTGAAAACAGCCTTTCCCACTCCCTTGGAGGCCCTCTGGAGACCTGAAATGGCCCATTTCCCAACTCCTGGTGGGACAGGAAGTGACGTTTTTTGCTGTCCCCCGACTCCAGAGCCTCTCTAGGAGTCTCTGGAGACGGGACAGCAAAAAATGTCACTTCCTGTCCCACCGGGAATTGGGAAATGGGCCGTTTCAGGCCTCCAAGGGAGTGGGAAAGGCTGTTTTCGCCCTTCCCAGATGCATAGAGAGGATCTGGAGCCAGGTGACAAAGAAAAACGGGCCTTCCCTACCACTACCACCCAGACCTCCGGAGGCAGGAAACAGACTGTTTCCCTATTTCTGGTGGGCCCAGAAGGCCCAAAAATCAGTTGGCCAACACACACATGCGCGCCAGTGGACATATCATGCCCACTGATATGGTTACGCATGCCACCTGTGGCACGTGTGCCATAGGTTCGCCATCAAGGCCCTATCATATCCATAACTTTATGACAGGAGGTGGAAATGCTGCAAGGTTGACAACTACTCATCTTCTAGTACGTGAGTGATTATGAAGGGTGGTGATTATGATAAATGATGAGTGCACCCATCAAAGTTCAAATATGTCCCTCATCAAATTGGTGCTTAACCCAAAAGATTCAAAAATTAGTTACAACCAAGTTGCCTAGAACAGTGACAAATAACAAATAACAGGTGGACCAGTAAGCAGCATAATTTGTTCCATGGAATAGCAGATGAACCTATTCCGCAAGCAACTAGGAGTTTTCTAGTCTTCTTCATACCTGAATTCAGAAGTATCCATGTATTTCTTAGAGCCCTATCATACAAAGTGAAACAGAGTAGTGAACGTCAAAGTACAAGGCAGGGGATGTGAGATCTGTCCATCGTTCTGTTCTGGCCAATATAGTTGCCAACGCTTGCTTTAAAAAAGAATGTTTTTTGTTGTTGGCCAAAGTTAATATGATTTTAATATTAACTTTGGCCAACAACAAAAAAAAACATGTGGTAGGTCAAAATAAGAATTTACCTTCTCTGTGTCTAATTGTGGACATTTAAGTAAATTGTGGACATTTAAGTATGGGACGTGGTGGCTCAGTGGCTAAGACGCTGAGCTTGTCGATCGAAAGGTTGGCAGTTCAGTGGTTCGAATCCCTAGTGCTGCGTAAGGGGATGAGCTCCCGTTACTTGTCCCAGCTTCTGCCCACCTAGCAGTTCGAAAGCACGAAAAAATGCAAGTAGAAAAATAGGGACCATCTTTGGTGGGAAGGTAACAGCGTTCCGTGCATCTTTGGCATTTAGTCATGGCGGCCACTTGACCACGGAGACGTCTTCGGACAGTGCTGGCTCTTCAGCTTTGAAATGGAGATGAGCACCACCCCCTAGAGTCGGGAACGACTAGCACACATGTGCGAGGGGAACATTTACCTTTACCTAAATAAGTCTTGCTCAGTTTCACATTTCACCACATCCATGATTCCTCAAAATAACAAAGCTGATTACACTTTAGCAATGGAAAACAAAACTGGGCGACATTACCTTGCCTGTAATGTGTATTATTTTAAAACAAAATGGAGCAAGTAAAAATTTAAGCCATACTTTATTACAAACACCATCATAGAGCAGTAGGTGGCAGCAATGGATCAGAAGACAGGAAGCTCAGATGACCCGGCACTTTCCCCTCCTTTGTTAAAAAAAGTTGCCACCTGAATTACATTGGCCTGCAATTGAATCTCCCTGAATCCCTGAATCCCAGGTAGAAACAGATGCTATAAATGCTGCCAAATGCTTCTCACCTTTTAGAAAGTGGTTAACTAAGTGGTTACTATCTAATTGTGAAATCCAGAATATTTTTTTTTTTCCCTTTCAGGAATCCAGGGGTGAGCACATCCAAAATTATATCACTTTTAGAAAATTCATATTTAACTATTTGAAACAATTAAAAGGAATAATGTTAAAAATGTTGATGCCTATGCAGAGGTTAGGAAGTCACATTCTGGAGATAACATGGTGAGAAAGGCAGGGTCCAGGCTGGCAAAAGAGTGAGAGATGACTGTATACTCTCCACTTATTTATTCAATCTAAACGCTGAAAATATATTAAAGGAATTTGAAAGAAAACACGTGTTTTTAAAATTAGAGGAAGACACATCAACAAAGTGTGTTATGGTGATGGTATTACTTAGGGAGCCAGTGGTGGGATCCTACCGGTTTAACAACCCGATTGCTGAGAGAGCTCGCGCTAGACATGCACTGTGCACGCAGTTTGCAAAAAATTGAACTTCCGCATTGCTGAGAGCAAGGAAAACAGCTGAGGAGTGGCAATCCACTTTGCCGCCCTGATGAGCTGGGCTTTGGAAGCAGAAATATAGCTGAGTATAACGCAGGGGCAGGCGGGCGGGCCCATTTCAAAGAAAGAAAGAACCAGTTCACTCACGGCTGAAAGTCAGACCTAATGGTTCTCCCGAACCGGTAGAATCCCACCACTGCAGGAAACTAAAAAAGCAAGGATCTGAAAGCTCTAGTAATAAAAGTCAACAACCACAATGGAAAAAATGGGACTACAATTACAAAGATCAGATAATAATGAGCCTTGTAATTGACAATGAAAAGATGTAACTGATAAACATTATAGTTTCTGCTTTTAGGATCAACCATCAACAGTAAAGGAACAAGTAGTCAAGAAATATACCAGTATCTAGCGCTTGAAAGGGCAGCCATGAAGGTCTTGGAAAACATATTCAGATGTTCTAATGTGTGTATGTTTAACAAAGATGAGAACAGTGCAAGCAATTATTTTCCCTGCAACACTGGTGAAAGTGAAAATTGGACTTTTAAGAAGTAGGATAGAAAAAGCATTGATGCTTTTGAACTTTAGTGATAGAAAAGACTCCTGAGAAAACCATTACAGGCAAGAAAACAAACAAATGGATCTAGAATTCACACCTGAGGTATGAATAACTAGGCTCAAACTGCCCTACTCAAGACACATTATGCAAAGGTCTCAGGAGAAGGCTGTGAGCTTGGGAAAGGTGGAAAAAAAGAGAAGAGGACAGCCAGAAACAACCTGGGTAGGCTTAACAGTGGTAATGGGGGTGCCTCGGAAGAGCTCAAGGGCCAAGTTAGGGACAGATTATTTTACAAAAATCTATCTATATGGTTAAGAGTCCACACTGATTTGATAGTACAAAATTAATCATTGCAATTAGAAAAGGGAGATTCATCCCTAAGATTAAAGGAAGTTTGGAATACTGATTTTGGTAAAACTATAAAGGAGACAAAATGGCAGACATTAAGTGGATTTACTTCTAATTCAAGGCAAGAGCCTCAGTGAAAGATTACACTTTGCTGGAATTTTACCTTGGTTAGATTACTATACATGTGTCCTATTTATTCTTCTAAATGCTGGAGAAGATGTTTACAAAAGAAGTTTTTCATTTATGGTAGTCATGAGAAAATTATATTCTTCCACTTAAAGTCTTCAGCATCTTCATTAGCTTCAAATACCTTCATTACTAAAAATGAATGTACTGCACTTATTTGATTGAAAGTAAAAAAAAAAGAAAGAACTTATTGTTTACTTAAGTATAAGGGCTAAAATAATAATAGGTGAACAACAGAAAATCTTACACGAGCTAACAAATGAGATGTGAGTCATTAAGGCTTCTTCGAGTGTCATGCTAGATACGATTATAGATAAAGTAAAAAAAAACCTGAAAAGAACCAAAATTTTGCCCATTTGGGCAGATTCCAGGCATTATCTTAAGACATCTACTTAAGTAAGGCTTTTTGTGTATGGCAAAAGTGAAGAGTTTTATTATTTATTTTTATCTACCTGAAATTTTTTGCAAAAACTTTTTTCCTCAATGCATTATGGAATTGTTATTCATTACTTATATATATTTTTATTAACTAGTCTTCAGTTAAAAATATAAGGATTCCATGAAATTGTCAGACCTCCAAGGTAGTCCAGACCAGAAAAACAATACTATCCATAATATTACCTCTATAGTAAGATTATGGTAATATAATTTTGGAAGTCTGAAAGCAGTTTCCTCTTCCTCCACCATTATGTCTCACAGACACTTTCTCCACTACCATTTCTGAGTCCAAAAGACTTTGGACTTTGGATATCTCTAATCAAACCATTATCTAGGTTGCAGTTCTTCCTCTTATCTGTCAAGGTTATTCTTGCAATCCATTAAATCAATATACAGTTTGGGGCATCTAGACGTTTGCATGAAATTGGAAAATCCTCATTTTAGGTCACTAATTTCTACATTGATTCAACTTGGACAATACTAGTAATTCAGAGAACTAGTGACATTTAGTAAATTTAGCTACAGCAAGATTTGTTACTTCAAAGCCAAGCAAACCAGGGTCAAAAATAAAACTCAATAGATATATTGAATTACATAAAAACACATTTAGTAACACATTATTTCTTACCTGTAACCTGTGCTGTTTCTCCCCACTACCAAGTGTTTTGGCTGACTGCCGCATACATAAATGTTGAAGTCGTTCTCTGGCAGCAAGTCCACATCATGGAAAATAAAACAATCCCAGTTCTCTTCCTTCAGGGCCTCCAGGTATCCAACATTTAGAAGTTTTGCTCTGTTAAACTTGGCATTGCCAGCCTGCAAACAATAAATAAAGATCAGCCTACAAACCAGTGGTGGGTTTCAAAAATTTTTACTACCGGTTCTGTGAGCGTGGCTTGGTGGGCGTGGCTTGGTGGGCATGGCAGGGGAAGGATACTGTAAAATCTCCATTCCCTCTCCAATCCAGGGGAAGGTTACTGCAAAATCCCCATTTCCTCCCGATCAGCTGGGACTTAGGAGGCAGAGAATAGATGGGACGGGACCAGTCAGAATTTTTACTACCGGTTCTCCAAACTACTCAAACTTTCCGCTACCAGTTTTCCAGAACTGGTCAGAACCTGCTGAAACCCACCTCTGCTACAAACAATAAATATACATCAGCTTATTCTATCTACATCAAGCACTCTCACAGTGTCCTTCAAAAGTCAAGGCAATCAACACCCTGCATGGGTATACAACGAAGACCTCTTGTCAAGTGTGCTTCCTTCAAAGTCCAGGAAAGAATGACTCAAACTCCATTGTTTATAGAGAAAGGTACTTTTACTAGAAGATGAAGTGAATGCAACCAAAGGAAAGCAGAATCTAAGGCAATACGCGCGAAAATTGCATATAGAAAGCATCCCCTCCCACTGTCCACCGTAAATCATCCAATCCAAAGGTCTCCCAGGGGTCAGGTGGAAGCACACGTCTGGCAGCGTCATCAATCAGGAATGCCACGACAGTTGGCCCGACGGCAGCTTCAAAGATACAGTCCGGTGGCTTAACTATCGGTTTCGTTTTCCTCCAGCACTCTTCCCCCCCCCCATGCTACCTAGCTGTCCCCCCTCACGTTACTATGGCAGCCAAAGCAGAAAAGGCGGAGGCTGACACCTCTATTTCTCCTGGCTGCCTCCAACAAAACCCAGGGCAGCTGGACCTATTTCTATTTGACTCTTCCTCTCAAGTCTGCCAGAAGATCTCTTTCTGTCTGAGGTTGCAATGTCTTAGTCAGATTGATCCTGACCCTACTGATCTTTTGTAAGGCCTTGAAGACATCACCAAGCATAAGGGTTGGAACATGTAGCAGAGCCCAAATGGGGGTTTGGGGTTTTATACTGGTGACCGATTATGTATTTATTATTGTGTTTATTTTTTATTTATTTCATCAAGCATGTATTTTATGACAGATACAAGTGTAAGCATAATTATAAATACATGAAAAGTATATGAATTAAAAAAAACACTAGGACAGGGACGGTTGGCACGCTGGTGCGCTTATGCACGGCCCTTACAGACCTCTTAGGAATGGGGTGAGGTCTACAGTAGACAGTCTAAGGTGAAAGTTTTGGGAATTTGGGGAAGAAACTCAGGTAGTGCATTTTCTTGGTTTTCAACTGCAGTTAGCTGCTAAGAATCATCCTGAAGAGATGGTGACCATATAAATTGAACGAATAACCAACTCAGATTATAAACCTGTTGGATAAGATTCTAGTGTTTGATAAAATCCCAATTCAAAGGGGTCAGAATGTTTACCCACAGCCAAAATCCAAGGGGCAAGCAGACCCAGATCAAATAAGGCTAAGGTTCTAAGAAGTCTGTATAGATATGTGTTAGATATGAGATATGTTGCAATATTTTCAGGATCAGACTCAATAAAGATAATAGGAGTTAAGAGCTTTAAATATATTTCTTTTTAATTATGATAGGCATTCTATATTCACTGAATATTCAAGGTAGAAGAGACGAGAATGGTGAGGGTGGCTCCTTATATATACAAGGGGTGGAGCTAGGAATGGGAGTGGTAAGTTATGAATACATTAAAGTCCAAAGAATAAGTTAACCTCTGATGTTCCATATATACATTATTTACACATTGGAGAATAAGGCATTTACATCTGACAAATCCCCCTCTAAATGCCGGTTCGTTACACAACACCAATTACATTCTGATTCAGGACAATATAATACATATAATTTAGAAGTTAAATATTTGTGTTGTTTAGAAGGTAAGGGTTTTGTTAATATGTCAGCTAATTGTTCAGAAGTATCGCAATGTATTGCTTTAATGAATCCGTCTTGAGACAGTTGTCTCACATGCTTAAACTTTATATCAATATGCCTGGACCTTTGTCCAATTGCATCGGATCTGGATATTTCAATGGCCGCTTTATTGTCTTCATGCATAATAAATGGTAAAGTGGGTTTCTTCCAAACATCAGTGATCAGATCATTGAACCATACAAGGTTATTTGCAGCCTTGGACAAACAAACATATTCCGCTTCTGTAGTAGAAGTGGCTACTAGTTCTTGTTTACCAGTATACCAGTAAACTGGACAATCATTCAATAGAAAAACATAACCAGAAGTACTCTTTCTGCATGATGTATCACCAGCCCAATCTGCATCAGCATAACAAGTAATTTTTGGTTCTCTGTCATTATTGGGTTCCAACATTAAACAAAAATCTAATGTACCCTTCAGATATCTTAGAATTCTTTTGACAGCTTCCCAATGATACAAGGTTGGTTTACTAACATATCTTGACAGTAGATTGAGAGGTAATGCAATATCTGGCCTAGTCCAATTAGATATATAAAGGAGTGAACCTATAACTGATCTGTAAAATGTGTTGTCTTTAAACTCAGGGGAAGATTCATCAGTGTTTCTAAGAAAATCAGTTTGCATAGGGGTGTCACAGGTTTTGGCATTATTTAAGTTACATTTGTTTAGGAGTTCGATGATTTTATCTTTCTGTGTAAGTTTGAATCCCCTTTTAGTTTTGTTAATTTGCACACCAAGGTATTTATTCACTTTACCCAGAGATTTCAGTGAGAAGTGTTCATTTAACTTATTTACAAAGATTTCCCTGCTCTCTTTATGCTTTCCAATGTATAAAATATCGTCCACGTAAATTAATACAAATTCAATATGATCATTACTCTTTTTTACAAAGAAACAGTTATCAGCAGTGGTGGCGTTGAAATCCATGGTCTTAAGTACTTTTACCAAGCAATCGTACCATCTTTTGCCGGATTGCTTTAATCCGTACAGACTCTTATTTAATAACCAAATTTCGTTCTTATTAGTGTATTGACTGTGTGGTGCTCTTACATATATTTCCTTATCTAATTTTGCATGTAAGTATGCGGTCTGTATGTCATATTGGAATACGTCCAGATTGAGTGCAGATGCTACTACAAGGGCTGTTTTGACACTCTCTGTTCTCACTGTGGGTGAATATGTATCAGTATAGTCTTCTGGATATTTTTGTGCATAGCCTTGTGCAACTAGTCTAGCCTTGTATAAGGTATTGCCTCCTTCTAAGTTCTTAATTTTATAAATCCACCTGGTACCTATAATTGTTTTATCCTTAGGTGCGATCGCAGGTGTGAATACATTTAATCCTTGTAAACTTTCCATCTCTTTTTCCATAGCTAGTTCCCATTTTTCTCTTTCTTCATGTGGAAGTTTCAATACTTCTTCATATGTATTAGGTGTTATTTGTTCTCCATTCATATGCATTATGTAATCTTTGTATTTATTTGGTATTTGGTTTCTATTGTTTCTAATAGTTCTTTCAGGCTTGCTATGGTTATCATGCAAATATCTAGCTTCCTTTTTTGTTAATGTGTCTGTCTTTATTTTATGCTGACTATTAGTCCAAGTTTTGGTTTTGTTCTTACTTTTGTTAATATTTTGATTTTCTGTTGTTCCTTCCTCGCAAGATATCGTATCTTTACATTTATTAGGAAATATTTCATTAAGGTGCAATTTTGACCAATTGGCCTGTTCATGGAACACAGCTGTTCTGGATACTATAAATTTGTTATTACTATCAATAAATCTGTACCCTTTGGTTCCAGTTTCGTATCCCATGAATCTTAATCTCCTGGATACGTTTTCTCCCTTTCTCCTCAATTGTTTAGGTATGTGTACGTCTGCAGTGACTCCAAATATGTGCATGTGTGATAATTTGGGTTTTCTATTGTACATCACCTCATATGGTGTCTTATTCACAATACTGGACCAGGTTCTATTTTGAGTGTAATTCGAATAATGTAATGCCTCTGACCAAAATTGTTTGCCTAAACCAGCATCCTCTAATGTGCACCTAATCATGGTTTGTAGTGTGGAATTTTTCCTCTCTGCAACTCCATTTTGAAATGCAGAAAAAGGATTGGACGTGAAATGTAACATTCCTCTATCCTTTAACCATTGGGAGAATTCTTTAGACATGAATTCACATCCCCTATCTGTCATAATTTGCTTTATTCTGATATTATGTTGTGTTTCTATACGTTTGTAGAATTCTTTAAATTTCTGAAATGTTTCATCCTTGTGCTTTAATGTGTAAACAAAACCATATCGGCTGTAGTCATCCACTATTGTTAGGAAGTAACGTTTTCTATAGGTAATTGAGGGACTTAATGGACCAACTAAGTCCATATGTACCAAATCAAAAATATTGTTAGTTGATCTGTTAGATTTTTTTGGTCTGGGACTGGTTTTTAGTTTGGTGGATTTACATACTGAGCATTCCAAATAATTTTCACAATTTTTTATTTTGACACCTTCTGCGTGTTCAGTCATTTTTTGTACTACAGGAAAGCTTGCATGTCCTAACTTCCTGTGTAAGATGTGAGCACACTCATCATGAATTGGTTTACCTATTTTTGGTTTCTTTTCCTTGTATGTATTTTTGTGATCATGAGTTATTCTACACTCATCATTGTCACTGTTACTGACATTTTCATCATCTGCTTCAATACAATCTTCCATATTTGAATCAATGTTATGTAAACATCTTTCTTTAGTTATCAGATAGGGTAGACCTCCTTTTATCATTACAGTACCTACATTTGTTTTGTTCTTTTCTATAGTTGCTTCCCCTTTGAGAAAACTATATTGATATCAGATTCTCTGCTTAATTTTATGGCACTTAGTATGTTGTGAGGTATTTCTGGGATTAATAATACCCCCTCTATTTTCCCTAGACCAGGCAAGGTCACATTTCCTTTGCCTAGTACTTGAACCTTTTCTTGATTAGCTACCTTTAT